AAATATATATATATTTTCTGTTGGATTGTAATTGCTGCTTGGGAAGAACAGGCAGCGTATCTCAGATTCCAGTGTGTTCAGAGGAAATACGGACAGATTGATGAAATCAGAAGCTAGTATCAACCAGAGCTTCACTAATCTGACTCCGTCCTTCGTGTGATTGATGCCTTCCCTCCCACAGGTTTCTGATATGTTTGCTAAGCTAACATCGTAGCTTATGCTCCACCCATTTGGGCTCGGAGTATTTTACGGATGCCGTTTCTGACGTGGTCATTTTGAGTTTGACCACCTCTTCTAAATCTGTTCCTAAGCCAGAGAAGACCCATTTATCTGGTGGATAGCTACTGGTGGGCAGCCACAGCACATTGCCCTCCAACCAAAGGTCCTATCCAACCTGCTCCATCTAGACCAGTTCAGCACTGGACCTTTAGCAAGCGGATGGGTAATCCTTCCCACGGCCTTGGTGAGGCGAAACACTTCATGATCTTATTGCAGACGTCCGTTTCTCCTCTTTTAGTTTAAGCAGGACACTGAGGCCCTCACCTGTTTAGTGAGACTCCAAACTCACTCTAGATGCTCCTCTTCTTATTAGAGTCGGAGGCCTTTAAAGCTCCTCAGACCGTCTCCCTCTAGGACGGTTCAGAGTCTGATGAACAGCAGGTTCCTCTGGGCCCACCTTTAAGGAACCAGGCCCCTATCCAGACCCCTGCAGTGTGATCTAAGGGGTGGAGATGTAACAATGAACCTGCTTCTAAACAAACCCACCGTGCTCTGCATCAGAGGTCCAGGAAGTGGGGGAACCCTGGAGACGACAAGCAGGGGTCATTTTCTGATCTCTGAGGGTTTGAGGGAGTGAATAACAGTAGTATACCATGAAATGAATTAGTATTAGTGGCTCATGAACTGATCATTTATTTATTGTCTACGTTTTTAGATAACTGAATATACCATAAACAATAAAACACAATCAAATGTTCTTTTTAAAAGAATGTCTTCTTTTTTTTTTACTCTTTATTTCTTATCGGATAAATCTATATATAGTGAAATATTTAGAATGTGTTTTTAGTGGATGGCCAGTAGGGGTCTCCAGTCTCTGTTATAATTCTGGGGCTGAAATGTTTGGGACCCCTGAGCTGGACCAGGCAGACAGGATCATGGTCTTTGGTTTAACGCAACTCAGCCTGACGTAGTTTATCAGAATCTCCAGAAGACTCGGATGGAGGAATCAGCAATCGCTTGGATCAATGACTACCTGACTACCAGAGCGCAGTCTGAGGACCGGGCTCCCTGAGAAAGATGCTGCATATCTTCTATTACTGTGGAGAGAGCAGTTGCTGATTTAAAACTCCATTTATGAAGAAGGCGGTTTGCTCTGCAGACTGTGTGAAACCTCTGGAGATGATTCTGCAGAGATGGCTCCTAAACACCTTCTTTCATTGGTGGTTTATTGGATAAAGTTCCTCTCCTAGGATGTCCTCCTGGACACAGAGCGGCTGGTTGGAGACTGAAGGACTTTCTGTGTCTCTGCTTCTGTCTCCTTGAACCCCAGTGGGCCTCAACGATACTTAAAACTTTATTAGACCTGAAATTCTTTGTTCCCCTATGACAAAATTATTAATGAGGATGTAGTGGATCCCTGCAGCTTCCAGTAAATCCTTTTTTTTAATCTTCCCTTTAACATTCAAACCATTCAGTCAACAGAGAGAGTTGAGTGTTCATGATGAACGGAGATGATGCAGGAAATCAGTATTGAACATAACTTTATCGGAAAGGTTTTTGTTCAGACCAGGAGTTTTCAGATGTGCTTCAAATGTTTGATAGAAAACATGGCAGAGATCCAGTGGAAACACATTATTTAGAAAGCATTCCTACTGCTCTGCTCAGATCAGATATTAACTGATAACGAGGCTTCCAAAGTTCTGCAGAGTGGAACGGCTTATGGATGCCAAGAGACATTCACAGCAAGTCTAACCCTTTAGAAACAAGCCGACGGTGGTGAGCACAGCTGGAGCCTTCATCCAGACCAGGAGGAGCAGTTCCTCCTACAGCGACCATGATGGAGAGGTCAAAGCAGAGGCCTGGATGCACGACTCGCCTGCTGCAGAAAAGCCATGCGAGGTTCAGAGCTGGCAGCAGGAGAGGAGGACTGCTAAGACACCAAAGGAGCAGTTCCAGGAGGAACATCATTAATGGATTTTTAACCAGCAAGTGCTGCTGAGAGACCAGTTCAATGATGGTGAGTCCTAGACGCCGCAGAGAGAAGAAGAAAGGACCTTCAACATCTCAGGCCAGAGGATGGGTCCAGATTCTTTCTGAACCATCCTGGTTTCTCCATCTTCAGGTTTCATTTCCATGAAGTATTAAACTTCCAGAAATGTTTCTAAAACTTATTTCATCCGTTTTCTGAGTTTTTAATGATACATTTTAGCTGTAGACTAATGTGATTGACTTTCTCTGAATGTGTGCATCAGTCTGTTGTTACCAACATCTCAGCGACTCCATTAGAAACCAGAAAAACTAAAGTAACGACTGTAACTACGGTTCTATGAATCCCTACTGACCGCCAGAGGCGGTGCATAAAGCACGAATCATTACTCTTGTGCATGCACAGGTCAAGAATCTTATACCAACATAGTCATGTGTGACCCCTGGTGACACAGGTGAGCCTATATAATCACGTGACGACGACAGCTCAGTCCCTTAATCTTCTTGCGAAAAAACACGATCATTCCGAGGGACCGAGCGCTCTGGCGGTCATCTGGGATTCATAGAACCATAGTTACAGTCGTAACTTTCTTTCTATTTCATCCTTACTGACTGCTAGAGGCGGTGCTTAAAGCACGGATGATGATTACCAACAGAGTCCTGAGGAATCACATACAGAAAAACAGCCCGAAAAACATGCCCACCTGACTGGGAGGGTGGTGCGCGCCGGGATAGGATCCCCTCCATTAGGTGAAAGGCAGCCAAGCTAACCCTGTAAAACCTAGCAAAGGTATTCGGGGATGACCAAGAGGCTGCTGAACAAATAGCCGAGCGGCCCACCTGGGTTAAGAAGCGAGATGAGCCCGACCTCTGGGTGGATCCCACTGGCCATGGGCAAGTCTTGCAGCAGACCCTGCAGCAAGCGGTGGCTGCCCCAAGCAGGGTGCAGTTTGGGCAGGATAAGTCCGCGATAGGGACACCGAGGCATTCCCAGCAGGACGCTGCACTCGTCTGCGATGAAGGCGGCCAACTGCTGCCTGGGCCGACCGCTCCAGGGCCGCAAGCGCAGCAGAGCCAAACAACTCTGCAGGAACCACTGGAAGGCCCATCAGGGTCCTTCTACAAGCCTCTGTTAGAGGAGACTGAGCCAGCCAAACCTGGCAATATGCCTGAACAAGGAAAGACAGGAAACGTCCAATTTCCCTCGACAGAGGAGGAAACACATGGATAGATGCGTCCATCAGTCCTTGAGTAGGTGCATCGATTGTGACACCCTCCAACGAAGCTGAGAGACCCAGCAATAAATGTGACAGGGAATTACCAAGTCGCCCCAAACGATACACAGAGTCATAGGCTCTACGGAGCAGATCATCAGTGACACGGCACTGAGGACGAGGACACCTGGCATTAGCCCTCAAAGCCTCATCTGGCAAAACAATGAGGGAAGCTATGGCCAGCTCAACAGAAGGCAAATGGCCCAAGCCAAAATTGGGCGCATCTTGCATGGCC